TGGGGAACGGGATCTGAAGCAGGCTCTGTGCTGACAGCAGAAAGCCCTATGTGGGGCTCAACTCGTGAACGGTGAGATCATGACCTCAGCCCAAGTCGGATGCTCAACCGACTGAGCCACACAGGCACCCACTAGGATGTTTTTAAAACACACAATTTCAGCCAGGGTCTCAAATGTATCAGTTCTGGGATTGCAGAGGTGTTATATCACATGTCATATGTTATCTATTTCATATATTCATATATTATGTATTTTAAATATGTGTGGTTTTAGAATGCGCATGGATTTTTTATTATTGATCTTTAGAAGCAGTAGTGTTCCTAGTTATGTTTAGAATGCTTTTAATAGTTTCTATATCTTTCATTTAATCATTTAGTTAAATCATTAACTTAGTCATGATGCTGTAAACTTTAAAATCCCTTAGGGGTACCCAGATGGCTCGGTTGAGCACCCCACTCTTGATTTCACCTACTGTTGTGATCCCAGAGTTGTGGGATGGAGCCCCACATCTGTATCCGTGCTGAGCATGGAGCCTGCTTAGGACTTTTCTCTCTCTCTACCCCCCTCTCTCCCTCTCCCGGTCCCTCCCTTCCTCTGCCCCTCTCCCCAGCTCACACACTTTAAACTTAAAAAAAAATCACTTACAGGAGGTTCACAGTTTTTAAGCAAATCTTCAAGGGTAGGGGCATGGTAGCCCGTTAAGGATGTTGATGCATTATCATTGACTAACTTAGCATTCTAGAACGATATGTGTTATATAGGAATTGGAAGCATATCTTTCCAGTGGTTTTATCCAGAGTTGTGGTAATTAACCCAGAAAATGTAAGATGGAAGCTACCAAGAAAGAAGATAAGAAATTGAGAGTATGGAGTTAAGGAAAACCCAGATAGATTTTCCCTTTCATTTTTATTTTATTTATTACTTTTTTAATTTTTTTTTTTATAGAGGCGGACTACAAGTGGGGGAGGGGCAGAGAGAGAGGGAGACAGAATCTGAAGCAGGCTCCAGGCTCAGAGCTGTCAGCACAAAGCTCCTTGCGGGGCTCAAACCCATGAACTGTGAGATCATGACCTGAGCCGAAGTCAATCACTTAACTGACTGAGCCACCCAGGTGCCCCTAGATTTTCCCTTTCAAAGCAAGGATTGTATTTCTTTTTGTATGTATATAGGTGAGTCGAACATTAAGGTATATGTACTTTAAGAATTTGAAAGGTACTTTTTACATCACTTCATTGAACTCCTCTGTGGCTTTATCAACTTTTCCTAATTCTTCACATTCTTCTGTTAGTAAAATAGAGAACATTATTTATATCTTACATTCTTCTGATGCATGTTGTGAGTTAATATTTATATGGAACTGTTTGAGCTTAAAATTGTCTCTGAAGGCTAAGAAAGTGTGACAATAATGCCTGTTACTAAGGCAAAGGAAAAGATTACATTTGGGAACCCCATAGCCTTAAATCATCCATTTCCTAATCATAATCTTGGAATCAGTCAAAAAAAAAAAAAACAGGTCTGTCATCTCACAAATGAAGTATTAGCTTACTGTATTTTGTTCTCTTTTGCAAATCATTGACTATATTTAATTAAAAAGAAAATATGAAACTGCTTGATGATATAGTCAGAACTGTTTTTCTTTTTTGCAGGGAGACAGGTCAAAACTGGCCGATATTTGATATATTTTTTTTAACCTCAGATCTATCTTTAATAAGTCCAAGAATCCTGGGGTGCCTGGGTGGCTCAGTCAGTTAGGTGTCCGACTTCGGCTCAGGTCATGTTCTCACGGCTCGTGGTTTGTGGTTTGAGCCCCATATTGGGCTCTGTGCTGACAGCTCAGAGCCTGGAGCTTGCTTCCGATTCTGTGTCTCCCTCTCTCAGGCCCTCCCCCACTCACACTCTGTCTCACTCTCTCTCTCTCAAAAATAAACATTAAGAAAATTTTTTTAAATAAAAAAATAAGTCCAAGAATCCTAAAATCCTAACATGTAACTCTTTGAACAAATTAATGAAAAGATAGAACTCTGAATTGTACATTTTTTTCCAAGAAAATTATTGCAAGAATGAATAATGAATGAAATACAACTTATAAGATGTTTAGAGATGTGTTTTTCAGCAGTGTAGTACAGAAATTTCATATTGGCTATCGATGAATTCATGTTAAAGGGGCAGATTTGGCTAAGATTAGATTGTTGGATTGCCATGATTTCACTGTAAGAAATTACAAGTTTAGGCTTGAGGATTTTCCTGGAAAAAGTTGATTGCCTCAGCTGTTGATTAGGTATGTGGACAGGACGTGGGTGGCCATGAGGGAGTCGTCATAGCTAAATGAGAACTTGAATGCAGAATGCAAACCTAGAGTTCAGCTGAAAATAGAGATAAACAGAAGTGGTAGCAATAAGCACCCCCAGAGTTCCCTGGTTTTAAATATAAGAAACCTATAAACAAAATTTTTTTTCTACTTTAACCACAAAAAAGAAAAAAAGAAAAACCTGCTCACTTAAGGCAAAGATTGCAGAAACTAAATGAATACCTTATTTCAGATTAAGGGAACTTGATTTTGGTTCTTCCACATCAGAAGATCTGAGGGGAAGGATAGGCAAGAATATTTATAAAGCGGAATAATGACAGAGTTTAAAGAGACCCAACACCTAAAATCTTCTTGCCACAGTAAAACTTGCACAATTACAACAGAATCAACTAATTGGGGAAGGCTTCCCTGCCCTATAAATACCCTTCAAACAGTATTTCCAGGATATGCTGTGTCCTGTATCCTAGGAAATCTGCCCCTTGCTGATAGGGCTGGCTATCTAAAAGGGAATTATCACTGCCTAAATGGTGGGAGACTTGGAGAGTGATTAAGCCCCGTAGGAAAGACTGACATCTTGGAAAAAGACGTGCGAATGATGTGAATGTGAACTTGGCATGTGCTTGGGATAAGCACTGAGTAAACAAAACAAAGAATCCATTCTGAACATTCTTTGGAAACACATAGTCTTTGAGAACTTGGTTGATGAGTTGAGTGAAATGGCCTAATTGAACTAATTCCCATTTGGGGGTTTGTTGATTCTACTTTTCTGAAGCCAGAGCCAACACTCCTGAAAGTTTTGAATGTCATTTAGTGCTTCCAGGAATTGGGGCTTACCATTCTGTAGATAAACCAGTCTCCTTTTTAGCTGTGTTCTATTAATTAAAACTGTTCTGTTAAATGAATAGATGGCCCCCAAATATCCTAATTTAGGATAAATTACTTGGCCTTCCCTTAGAGATATTCTGCTGGTAGAAATCTGGTTTAGTGGTTTGATTCATTTTACATGGCATCAGTTACTCCCTGTGATTATAATATATTTATTACAGCAGAAGTTATTTTAAATAATTTAGGATCACATAAGCTATGGCAATTGTAGCCATTCCCAATCTTTTTTCCCTCATTTGTTACATTTTAGCAGATTAAAGAAAAAAATCAGAGCTTCTACCTAAAAGATCCTTGTGAGAAAACATAACATTAAAATACAGAATATATATGAACTTAAGTAATTATTTTAAGTAACGCTACAATAATTTAAAAAATCCTGAAATCCATTTTAATGTATCAAGGAGGTTTTTCCTAATAATCTAAACCTCTACTGGCCCAGAACCATTCATAGCCAAGGTTGGGAAACTATGCCGTGTAGGTCAGATCCAGTCTGCACCTGGTTTTATATGGCCAGCTAACTGAGATTAGTTTTTACAGATGGACATTTGCGGTCTGTTTGATAATAGAGAATGCTGTGAGGCCCAACCACACCAAATGCTGACCCAAAATAAAGAATTCCATTAATTTTATTGGTAGACCTGTACTAAAAAAGATTAAATTTGGTTATTATGCAAAAGAAATTATATTCGATTATATTTTCTGTAATAAAAGTTTTGTAGAAATTTTCTTTCTCTATATATATGTACCTACATAATATCCTTTAGTTTTGCCTCTTAGCATGCCAAGTCTAACATATTATCTGGCTCTTTACATAAAGTATAGATCCCTGACAGAGTAATTTTTTTCTCATGTATTTTTTCTTCACTCATGCATCTGTTCAGCAAATAATTTCTGAGCAACTTTCACATGCCAGACACAGTTCTAGGCCATAGGGACACCATGGGGAACAAGCTTTTATAAAAAAAAAAATACTGCCTTCATAAAACTTACAAATTATGTACATTATCTCCCCATAACTACCTTGTTCCATTATTCCCATTCCCATCCAAGAGAGGTTCAGAGAATTTACGTGGCTTGTCTGGAGTTTCTCAGCCCAAAACAAACCCAGTTATACCTGACTCTTAAGATTTGAGCTTCTAACCAATGGGCAGGGCTAGCGTCATGGGCAGGACTCTGTGCTTGGTTTAATGCTTTACTGTCACCATCTTGTAATTAGTCAGCTTTGAACAACTTTTTGAACAATAAATGTATTTTCATTTTGTCCTTGGACCCACAAATTATGTGGCTGTCCTGCTGCTAAGGCAAAAGTGCTTCTCTCTCAGACCACATTCCTGCCATGATTGTTGTTTGATTTTTAAAGACCCACATGAATTTATGTGTAAAGAAACCTTGAAATCTATCAAGCAGTTTGGAAAAACAGGCTATTTTTAATCCATTGCTTATTATTTCAGTTCACCAAAAGACTGCAAGTTCCTTGAAGGCTAGGGCTCTCTCCTACATTTTTTTTTTTTTTAACTCCCTCTGTGCTAAAGCTTTTCTAAGAACAGTGAGTAAACCTTGTCAAGGGTAAGACTTGGCTCTGTCTTAGTTTACTTCCATACGAGAGCAATATTGTTCATCATCAATATTGGCTCTGATCTTTATTAATTTGCAAATTTTGAAACCGATGTTAAATCTGAGGTAAACAAAACATCTGACCTGTTCTGATATAAGGAAATTCTTTATCCAGCAGTGACTAAAACATTGATGTCTTTGAGGGGTGACTGACCATAGAGATTTTATCTTCCTTTCTTTCAATTTCTTTCAGCCTAGTCATTGTTGGATAAGCGTGATGGTGGAACAGTTGTCAGTCAGTTTGACTGATCTTCTGGACAAGTTTTCGAATATTTCTGAAGGCTTGAGTAATTATTCTATCATAGACAAACTTGTGAAAATAGTGGATGACCTTGTGGAGTGCATGGAAGGACACTCATCTGAGGTAACTTTGTATTCCCTGGGATTCCTTTTTTACTACTTTTCTCCAAAACCTATGCCCTTTGGCAGTGGCAAGAGTGGGGTTGTCTCTATTTGTGAAGTTTTTAAGTTAAAGACTTTTAATTAAAAATTATTTTCAGATGAGCCCAGTGAATAGGTGTTTGTAGTTACCCTGCAATGCTGAAATCTACATTAAGGCTTAAATGTTGTTACTTAACATAAAAATAAAATTTATTCACACCTCAACGTAAGAAAAAAAAAAAAACACCTTTATTTCAGAAGGGAGTGAAGTCCTTCTAACCTACCTATTAGGTTACAAATATTCATTTATCTTTAAATGGAAAATTACCTATAATGAACACTCTTACTTAACCTTTTATCCATAGTAATCCTGTCACAACAATGAAGTGCATTTTCACATCTCCAGTCCAGGGCATCTGATGATTCGTTGTCACCAGCCTCAGAATGTGGTCATGGCAGTGTTTTCAGATCTAAGTATATTGAAGAGGCAGAGTACAGAGATTAAAAATGAGGTGTTAGGGTTCAAATCCTGACTCTGTCACTAATTAGCTTTGTGAACTTAACCTCTCTGTGCTCACTTTCTTTATGCCTAAAATGAGGACAATGACAGGATGCATCTCACGGAATTGACATTGGATGATTTCTGATTAATGCCTTAGTACCATGTCTGGCAAAATAAATCCTAATAAATATTTCTTATTCTTATTTTAGAACACCTCATCTATAATAAGATAGGTCTTGGGAGGCCTGCTTTGGCATAGAGTTTACAGTTCAGGGTTTATCCTACAGGCCTTCTAGATGCTTAAATCTAAGGTTTTAAACATGGTTCTGTACTGTAAAACTCAAATACTACCTTCTCATCCATCTTCCAGTCACTCTTCAAGACCCAATGTCAGTCCCATTTGTGTTTCAAACTCAGAGTTCTTACCATACTAATAGCCTCCTCACTGTATTTCATCACTTCTGTGCTTTACTTTCTAATTTCTGAATAGTGTGTCTTAAAATCTATAGCCTCTTAGAGTTAACGTGTCTTTTCATATTGTTAGTACAAATAGTGTTCTGAGGGCAATGATACAAGGTCAAGGACCCCAAAAGTAGGGCATATCAGGGACAGTGTCACGGAGGAAATAAGCTCCCATTGGAGCTTGAAAGATGGAGTTAGGTGCTAGGTAAATGGTGATGTCGAGAAGAGTACCCCAAACACTGGAGAATGTACACTTACTAATCATGGCACTTTGGCAAGAACCCAGCTGGTATTTCTCAATTTTTTTGATGATTGAGTTAATCTATATAAAGCACTTAGAGTGGTATATAGCAAGTGCTACATAGGTGTTGTTATTACCTGCTTTTCTTTATAGGAAATCATGCATTTACAAATTCCTAAACTATAGTGTTGGTTTGCTTTCTTGGGGAACTTCTAGAAATTAATCATACTCTTTATTCTTTCATAACTTGGTTCTTTCACTTAGCATTGTTTAGAACTTATATTCACTTTGATGCATACAGCTGAAACTCAGTTTTTTTCCTGCTTATAGAGTTGATTCAATATACCAATATTTATTAAACCACTCTTCTGTTGTTTGATGTAAGGGTTATAGAATACTGTTGCTAAGAACTTTCTTATATGTCTCCTGGTGCATATGTGCAAGAACTTCACTGGAGTATTCACCTAGAAGTAGAATTGCTGGGTTACAAAATGGACACATGTCCTACTTTACCAGAGGATATCCAATGTGCCAGTTTACATCATTCCACCAGTATATGGGTCCCCTTTGTTCCATATTCTTGGCAATATTTAGTATCATCAGAATTGTTAATTTTGGGCTATTTGGAGAATGTGTTATGTAAGGGTATTTTTTTTTTTTTTGAGGAATAATTATTTTAAAGCATTTCTAGTCACCTTACTCATCCCCACCAGCACCCCATTCCTTTTATCTGGAGTTGAGCCCCAGACCTAACTGGATGGGGATCACTACCTTGCAGTACCAATTGAATTATGTGTGTTAAAGCAGTTGTCTAAAAGTATCAATTTTACTTGAGTCTCTGGAGGACATATTTATAATCTATTACCTTGACGTCAGTTAAATCTGTAAATTATCTGAAAAACACAATCCTTTTTTTTTATTTTTCTAGAATGTAAAAAAATCATCTAAGAGCCCAGAACCCAGGCTTTTTACTCCTGAAGAATTCTTTAGAATTTTTAATAGATCCATTGATGCCTTCAAGGACTTGGAGATGGTGGCATCTAAAACTAGTGAATGTGTGGTTTCTTCAACATTAAGTCCTGAAAAAGGTAAGACATGTAAGCATTTCTAATTTAAATGTCAAAAGCAAGCTTGAATCTTGAATGTTTAGGTAAGAATCTACTTCTGACTCAAATATATGTGTAGCTAGAGAAAGATGTATGTGTATATGTGTAATACAAAGACCTATATCAATGGCATGAAAGAAATGATCAGTTAATTTGTTGGTTTTCAAGCCACAGCAACACTCCTCATTTTCAAATATAAGAATTGTGTGTGAGTAAACAATATAGGAATTAGTCACTCATATTTTTTATCTGGTCTTTGCTAGCATTGTGCAAGTATATTATTCTTCACCTCCACTCTTCTTAATGTACCCTTTTCAAATCTTTTCCTTAAGGTCTGCCTCTGGGTCATGAATTCTGATCTTCAGTAGTTACTCTGTATTAAGAACCTTTTTTCCCACTGGGTCCCAGTATTACAAAATCTAATTTCATTGCTTTTTCTGTTTTGTTTTGTTTTGTTTTTAAGACCAGTTACCAACAATTTGTGTTACTCATACTTATTAACCTATGTAAGCAATGAATCCTTGTTCTATAATGTGATTGTGGTGCATTTAATAAAAATAGAACAGGACTCAGTATGAAATAAATAGGATCTTAATAATCAAGATTTGGGAAGCAGACCTAGAAAATATTCTGGTATTGCACTTCAGGCTTTTGCGGACTCTGTAATTCATTAAATCGCCATGCAACACTGACACATTATTGCTTTCTATTTAGATTCCAGGGTCAGTGTCACAAAACCATTTATGTTACCCCCTGTTGCAGCCAGCTCCCTTAGGAATGACAGCAGTAGCAGTAATAGTAAGTACATATATCTGATTTAATGCATGCATGACTCCAGTTAGCATCTATAGGAGTATTGCATGGGCTTTAAAGGAAATTTCTGCAATTACTACTATTAATACTGTGCTGTTACTGTTCTTCCTGTTATGGTCTTCCTCAGAATTAAATATTAGGCTTGTATAAGTGGGTTTCCCTATAACTGGAAATAATTTTTAGAGAATTGGGTCAAAATCTTCTAAAATTATTTTACATAAGGCATGTAATTAATTTTAGATACTTTTAAGCTTTATTCATTGTCAACTTATATTTTTATGTGAAATTTGCCTGACAAAAATGGAATTTAAAAATTGAAAGTACAAATGTTGGTTATATAGAATTCCAAGGATATTTTCAGTTTTGTTTATATTTACTATTCACAGTATTTACTATTGTGTGTTTGTACATTTGATGATTTTATTTTACTATAAAATTATTTTAGAGGAGAATATGCTGCTTTGCCTGAAATTTCTTTCCTTTTAACCAAGAACCCAATTTTGTGCAAGTCTAATGTCCTCTTTTCAAATACAGGCAAGGTCATTATAAAGATCATTGGGTTTTACTAAATATTCTGATCCTCTAGTTTCATGGAAGCTGTAGGAGGAAGAACTTCATCCTGTGATCTTAGCTAAGAAAATCATCCCTCAAAACTTTGTAATGGGGCACTGTTATATGATCAGGGACATAGAAGAACTACCTGTAAATAAGAGTAATCAATTTAGTACCAATCCACCATAACAAATCTGCAATTCAGAAAATTTTTAAAAACTTCTAAAATCCGTTTGTTTAGTAATTTTGGCCACCAAAACTGGACCTGACCCGTGATAAGGCTATTTATATATAGTATTTTTCCTTCCAAAAGTGAATATTTCTTGATTTCACTACAGAAATACTATGTTTGATTACAGTGTGCTACCCAGACCTCAATGAGGATATTATATACAATATTTGTAAGACAGAACTTTGTAAAATCTGAAATTTTGAATTACATAACACATCAGATCTGAAAAGTTTTAAGAACGGACTACATGGGTTAAGATCTCTACTACCAATTTTATTAATCTTTTCAAAGATGCAACTTTTAGCTTCTTAGTTTATATTATGGCATTTTTAAAAAAAATTTTTTAATGTTTATTTTTGAGAGAGAGAGCACGAGTGGGGGAGGGACAGAGAGAGAGGGAGACACAGAATCCGAAGCAAGCTCCAGGCTGAGCTGTCAGCACAGAGCCTGATGCGGGGCTCGAACCCATGAACCATGAGATCATGACCTGTGCCGAAGTCAGATGCTCCACCGACTGAGCCACCCAGGCGCCCCTATTTCATTGATTTCTAATCTTATTTCCTTTTACTTGGGGTTGAGTTTGTTCAGCTAACTTCTAGTTTTCTTCAAGTAGAAAAATTTAATCATTGATTTTTAAACCATTCTAATTTTCTAATATAAGCACTTAAAGGTATAAGTTTTCTTGTAAACAACTTTAGTTGCATCCCATACACTTTGATATATTGTGTTTCCATCATTTCCTCAAAAATATTTTTTAATTATCCATGTGATTTATTCTTTGATTAATGGGTAATATTAAAATGGGTTGCTTGATGTCTAAACATATGTGGTTCTTCTGGGTACCTTACTGGTTTCTAAATTCTGTTGTCAGAAAACATATACTGTAATCTTTCAAAATTTATTGAGACTTATTTTATGTGTATCATTCAAATATGGAGTGTAGCATTCTCAAATTTGATCAAAATGGTTATAGTGTTCAGATCTTCAATATCTTTATTACATTTTTTTGTCTAATTTTTTATCAATTACTGAGGGGTATTAAAAATCTTAAGATTGTGGATTTGGCCATTTGTCCTTTTGGTTATGAGTTTTTCACTTCATATATTTTGAAGCTGTATTATTAGGTGGTTATATATTGATTATTATTATGGGTTTCCTGATTAACAGACCTTTATATTGTTACTGAAATATTCCTCATTACCTCTGCTAGTATTCTGTCTTGAAGTATATTTTATCTGCATTAGTAGAGCCAGTTTTTCTTATCCTTACTTTTTTCATGGTATGTTTTTTTCTTTCCAATCTATTGTCTTTATTTTTAAAGTACATCTCTGGTAGACAGTATATAGTTGGGCCTTGCTATTTTAGCAAGTCTTTGACTTTTAATTGGAGTGTTTAATCCATTTATATTTAATACAGTTATATTATTATTATTATTATCATCATATCAACATATGGTTGGATTTGGGTCTACCATTTTGTTTCCTATTTGCCTCATTTCTTTATTTCTCCTTTCCAGGTTGATTTTGGGTTAATTTTTTTTATTATTTTGTTTTCAATAAAATTTAAAATTTATTGTTTTGTGGTTGTTTTAGGAGTTACAATATATATCTTAACTTGAAATGTTCTACTTAGTTAATATTGTAGCACCAAGAAAAAAATAGGAGAAATATCTTTTGTGCTACATAGTATATTTAATCACACACATGCCAATAACACATATATTAGGTAGGTTAATATTATCTCAGATGTTAGAGGTTTTGTTCATTGTTTTCCCTTGCCCCGATCTCTTTTCTCTATTCATCAAAATGTATAATTTCTACTTACCTGTTTTCAAGTTCCCTGACTCTTCTGCCATTTGTAAGCTGCTAAACTTTTCATCCAGTACATTTTTATTTTTTGCTATTTTTAATTTTTTTATAGCAGTTTATGATTCATACAAAATTGAGGAGAAGGTACAGAGATTTCCCACACACTCCCTGCCCCCACACATGTGCAGCCTCTCCTATTATCAGCATCCCCTTCCCCGCCCCCGCCCCCCAGAGGTACCTTTGTTACAACTGATGAACTTACATGGACACATCATAATCATTGGAAGTGCATATTTTACATAGGGTTCACTCTTGTTGCTGTACATTCTTTGGGTTTGGATCTAGTGCATTTTTTTCATTTCTAAGTTTGTATTTTGCATTCTAGTATTTCCATTTGATTCTTATTTTCCTGCTGAGATTTGCATTCTGCATATTCATTATGATAATATTTTCTTTTTTGGCCCCTGGAACCATGGAACAAGATGGGGTTGAACCACATGGGTCCACTTATACATGGATTTTTTACAGAACTATAAATGTATTTTCTCTTATGATTTTCTTAATATTTTTTCTCTAGATTACTTTATTGTGAGGATACAGGATAGATATACAAAATATGTGTTAATCGATTATTTGTTATTGGTAGGGTTTCCAGTTAGCAGGCTATTAGTAGTTAAGTTTTGGGGGAGTCAAAAGTTATATATAGATTTCAACTGTGCAAGGGGGTCGTGCCCCTACCCCCACATTGTTCAAGTGCCAACTGTAGTTAATAAAGCTCTAAAAGTTCTTGTCTCCTAATCTCACCATGTAGGTCATCTCAGGGTTAGTGTATATTGACTGCTTTTTTCTCCTGATTATGGGTCACATTTCCCTTTAAATAACTAGTAATTTTTTGAATATATGCTGGATATTATGGATACTATGTTTTTGAGAAAGCAGATTTTGTTTCATTCCTTTAGAGACTTTTGAGTTTTGTTCAGGTAGGCAGTTCAATTACTGGCAGACTATTTTCCTTGTCAGTCTTGTTTTTAAGCTTTCATGGAGGAAAGAGGAAGAGTAGCCTTATTTCTAAGGCGTGAAATTTCTGAGATATTGAGTGCTTAGAAAATCTTTCCATTCTTGCTTGTCAGAGCTCCTTTGTCTCTGAATGTCAAGGTCATAGCTTCCCAGGTGTTGTTTATTGCCAGGTTTTGTGAAGTCTCTTTCTGTCCATGTACAGCTTGTTTCTTAACTGGTGACTTAAGGAGATTCCTCCAGAGATTTCTTTTCGACCCCGCTCCTTTCCCACAAATAAACCTGCCCCACAAACTGTGGCCACTGCATCCCTGAACTTCAGTCTCTATACCCTATCTCAAGTGAGACCATTGAACTTTCCTCGGGCTCTATCTTCCATACCTCCTAGCTAGAAAATGAAGACAATCGTGGGACTCACCATGTGTGTATTTACTCTCTTAGGGAATACATTCTTGTGCTATCTTTTGGCTAATGTATGAAAGTAACTGCCGCCTATAATCTGTCTATGATAATAACTATTTAGGTTGGGAGGGCTAATCTGCTATTATCATGGTTGGAAACAAAAGTCTTTTCTACTTACTCAAAAACAACTGAATATAAAACACCTATTCAGTCCTGTGCCTCTGAGTCTGAAGGTATTTTTTAAATTACAAAATTAATGGTCAGTGTTCTTTTTTCTTTGTTTTGCTTTTTCTTTTTTTTCTTTTTTGTAAAAAATATGGATCTTGCATAATTTGCTGCTGTCAGATGTCACTTGTCAATATAGCACTTAGATAGCCATGCACAAAGACGAGCTCTTGTAGAGCTTACATCTTTCTAAAAGACACATACATAAATAAAATACTCATAGTATTTTATCATATATACCATGTATGGATTACAATATGTATCATAATAGAAGTATGTAAACATTTTTAGTTGTAGCATAAAGGAGGTAAGACTTCTGGGGGGAATATGGCCAGAGAAATTTGAAGTGATCACACCAGTTTTCCGGATAAGAATCAAAAAGTGGCCATGCTAGCCAGAAGACCAAAGTCTATGAAGGAGTCCTGAGATATGAGTGTCCTCTCATATCTTGTATTATCCCATGATTCTCCCTTATAAAAGTGTTCAAGTTACCCAAAAGGAATTGGGTTTTCACAGTAAAAGTAATTAACTTTATATACCAAGCTAAAAGGATGTTTAAGATCCTTGCAGACAGTATTTAAGAAGAATATTGGAAGAAATTCTTACTTTGACATTACCTTATACATCTTCTAAAAAGAGAGTCTTTGAGTCAGACCTCCTGGGCTTATATCCCAGCATTAGCCCTTGGATAACTGTGTGACCTTGGGTGAGTTACTTAATTTCTCTAGACTTGCCAGTCAAATGAAGGATAATAATACCTCCTTCAGAAGGTTTCTGTGAGTTTTAAATGTGTTAAGACACATGAACTTGGAGCCTTGCCTGTGAGAAGTAAGGGCAGTATTTTCAGAAGTACCAAATAAAAGCTGTGCTATCTATGTATGGGGTGCCTAGGTGGCTCAAGTCTTGATCTCACAGCTCATGAGTTCGAGCCTCGCATCAGGCTCTGTGCTGACAGCTCAGAGCCTGGAGCCTGCTTCAGATTCTGTGTCTCCCTCTCTCTCTCTCTCCCTAACCCACTCTCATTCTGTCTCTGTCTCTCTCAAAAATAAATAAGCATTAAAAAAAATTTTTTTTTAAAAAGCTGTGCTATCTAGTTAACAGGTTTACAACCTATTGGAAATAAGTACGAACCCACACACACACACAATGGAGACCCAAACCCTTAGACATTTCACTTCCTGGTTCTTCTTACCCTCTCTGTTTTTCAGGCTTTGCAATGAGCATGTGCCCAAGAGCAAAGGGAGGAGGGACTGAAAGTCTGTGTCACCTCAGGGAATGTACATTTGTTCCAGTCAGACTGCTTTCTGCTTGACATGGGCCATAGGCATTGTCTGTGTCCCAGGCGGTAACCTCTATTACTCAGCCAATGAGGAACCAGAGGAAGGACTTGCATGCTAGGAAAAAAATGGTTTGCTGCAACTTCCCTGAGCGTGCCTGTCCCTCAGACACCCAAGGTTGGAAGAACGTTGATTAAAGCCTCACTTCACTGTGCTCCGAGTCTCTGTGTCCCTCCTTTGATTGGGCCAGTGGGCTTATTTCTCACAATGCCTTATGTATGTGTTCATCATTAAGTGTTAGAATTGTCAGGTACACCAAGCCTGTGGGTCAGTAAATGTGGCAAGCCTACAGTGAGCTTTGAATCTGAATCATGGAGGGACACTGAGCTACAGGTTTTCTAAGCACCAAGAGATCCATGTTCACAGACATGGTGATGCCCATAAGCAGAATCATTCGAAATAGTAGTTCAGCAAAATTGTAGTGCAGTTTTTTGTGTCCTGTGTTTGAACAGATGTTGTGTATTATAAGTCAAACCAAACAAATCAGTTCCCATAAATTTTGGACAATGGACCCTTTTCATAATAACGAGAGAACCATTATAACAACAACCCAGGGATTTGGGATTACTCAAATCCTGTCCAGATGAGCCCCCTTACCTCACAAGTTTTCTGGGACAATCTTTACTAAAAGCAAAGCCTTGTTACTAGCTTGGGCTTTGACCCCAGACACCCACCATATGGGCCTTGAGGCAGACAGTTCAAATCTCATTGATCCCACATAGATAGCAGCAATAGAAATTCTTGGGAGCCAAGCTATGAAGGTGTGAACAAGCCTTTTCTTACAACATCCTTTTTCTTTCTCTGCAAGAGGGATGGCAGTATCAGTGGAGAGAACCAAAGGCTGGTTATTAAGCTCTTTGCATTAATGAGAAATAACAAAAGCAAGGTAACACTGACCGCTTAAGGAGGTGAAGCTCTCAGTTCTCCTGTCCCTTTCTCCTCCCGGTCTTTACCAGGCCCCTCCCTCTGGCAAGTGGATTGCTTCTATGTCTTAGATGCTAAGACTTTGGGGCCAAAGTCCAGGAGCAGGGAGGGGAAGGACTTTTAAAATGGTTAAAAAGTCACAATACTCTGGAAGCATGAGGTGAGTTCTCTTTAATTAGATCTCTCCTCCAGCATGGCTTGCTTTGGAACACCTTCTTTAGGGGCCGTCCTATCTGAGAAAGATTGTGAGTGGGGAATCCCAGAATGCCTCTTTCTCTAGTAGCCTGCTTCTGCTTGTTGCTGTAGTGGGCCTGGTCCTTCCTGTGGTCTGAATGGCTCAATTCAAGATTTGGCTTTTTGAAAGAAGGGGAAAAACAGGGTGTTTGGCTGCCTTGATTCCAGGGCATCTGGCTATCCAAACATATGTAATGGAATTTTCCATAGCACCATCCTGGCTCATTAGTTTTCCATTGGAGTCGGGGGACAAAAACATCAGAAGCTTCCTCTGTTCTCTCTGGATACCTTCATTAGGGGATCCCTCCAGGACGTCACCTGGTCAAATCTGTCATAACTACACAGCAGTCCCAATAGACACTGTGGGCCGTAGCAGAGTGGCCCCCTGGGAGAAATCAAACATGTTACTGGAATGCAACCACAAATAGCCAAGTTATTTACAGACAGTGATATTAAGATGCCTAAAATGGCAAAAATTGCTTATAACTCTGAATCCATTTTCTGCGAGAAAACTCTTTTATAAATGGTAGTCAAATCCCAGACTAGCACACATAATCTTCTGTAACCCTTAAAATAGCTATATTATCATAATGACAGTAGTACTACTTCAATTCTACCAAATCGCATTTTGTAACTCTGGCTTACTTTGCTGAAAGAATCCATGTTGAACTCCACTTTAAAACTCCTGAAACTTCTTTCCCATGGGGCTGTAGGATGGGGGGTGGGCCAGAAGATACAGTAGTTGAGTCTTAAGGAAGTGATTCAGGATAGATGACCCCACTTCCCTATCCAGATAGTCTCCCTGTTCCTTATGTGTAAGGGGTACCCATGACTCACTAACCCTCCCCTTAACACACACACACACACACACACACACACACACACACACACACACACTTCCTATTAGAGCCTTTGGGAAACAGGAATCCTAGAATTGAACTTCCTGTTCCCAGTTTACAAATGGTGGGGAAATGGGCAATTCCTGTTCTCCCTGCAGTAGATAGCATTTGTTTCTTGCCTCTCAGGTTAAATCTGTAAGTTCATTTTCTCCTTATAAATGTTTATACACGTAACAGTGGTTTGGTTCTCTTACATTATATACTTTAGGCACTTAATATGTTAAATAGGTGACCTTAGGCTGACACAGTAACCCAGATCTTGTGCAATATTATAGCCCCAAATGGTCACTTTACCTTGGATTAGTTTACATTTTGTTGTTATAATTGCTGAAAATGCATAAAACCTTTTCAGGTTTGACTCTTACCAGTTGGCATGTGTGTCCGTGTGTTGTAACAGCTAAGCTGTTCCTTGTAAGGAGATACAGGAGAAGAGACCCTTGTGGGAGATGTGTTTTGTTTAATTCATCGATCATTCTGCCAAGCAGGATCAAAGCTGAGGAGGACCAATTTAATCTCACACGTTTTCTCTCTCACGCTGTTACTTTATTTAGAGTAAGCAATGAGAGGACACTGGTTCTTTCAACCATTCTTAGTGTTTGGTACTCTGGGGCTTTCCAATGTAAGCCTGAAAAATTAAACCTTTAGTCCTTAGCACCGTGTTGGGCATTCTCTGGTGTGCAGTAAATGGATACCGGAGATGTGGTGAGGCAATGCCATGACTCTGAGGGTGAGGTACCTAAAAGGACCCTAACCACAAAGTATATTTAATGACTTAATATGTGCAGCAGGCCAAACAGCATAATGCATACCGACCTTGATCCAGAATGCAACACGTCCTCTAAAATTTCTTGGCAAGATGTCACGAGTGAAAAAGTGAAAAGGTTTTAGATTTCCTTGATATTGTAAATAATTTTTCAGAAAATGTCGTCTGTGGTCCATATGTGTCAACATTAACCAAGTCAGATAACCTTCTGTGGGTTTTCTTTTCTTTTTCCTCCTACCTATTTTGGAGACGACACGGACTTGTATTGCTGTCCCAAAACAACGCTCAACAGAAGAACCAGTTTTCCAAATATTCCAAACAGAGATAGGTCAAGAGTACGTTATGGCAACAGGTGGGGCCAACCACACACAGCATGAGAGCAAACCTCTAGCATGGATATGCCGTGTTCACCACTGTACTGTTTTCCTTACAGGGAAGGCCACAAATCCCACAGAAGACTCCAGCATACAATGGGCAGTCATGGCATTACCAGCGTGCTTTTCTCTTGTAATCGGATTTGCTTTTGGAGCCTTCTACTGGAAGGTAAGGGTTGCTACTCTTTTTATTTCTTGATCAAAACTTCCTGAACTTCAGATGTTTATTTGCTCATACTACATTTACATAAATGATTAACAAGCCACCCCTTTTCTGAGAAAAGATCCTACCTTAATTTAGTCTCAATAAAATCTAAATCTTAAGGCTTTGCCCTCATTCCTTATCATGCTTTGGAGAAAACCCCTCTATCTGAAAATGTACATCTAAAGGGCTCCTGTGTGACTCAGTCGGTAAAACGTCCGACTTTGGCTCAGGTCATGATCTCATGGCCCTTGAGTTCGAGCCCCGCATCGGACTCTGTACTGACAGCTCAGAGCCTGGAGCCTGCTTAGGATTCTGTGTCCCTCTCTCTGTCTTTCTGCTCCTCCCCTGTTCACACTCTGTCTCTCTGCCCCTCCCTCCCTCCCTCCCTCCCTCTCTCTCTCTCTCAAGAATAAAGAAATGTTAAAAAAAATTGTTTTTAAATGTACACTTAAGAAATGATAACTGGTTTTAATAGCCTGAACTAAATGTAAAAAGGAAGAAATAGACTGAAAAACATATGATGCACTTAAAGCCAAACAGAAATGTCATTTGTATTATCTGCTATTTTGGATTTTTCTTCTTTTGTTCTCTTCTTACAGAAACCTGTCTCAGATTTTAAAATGTGCTAAATCATTACGATTCAACTTTTTGAAATGTCTTTTGAATTTGATTACCATTTAAATCTTTGTTTCTTCGTTGCTTTTTCACCTCCAACACCCTGAAAATGTTAAGTCGCTAATACGGTGCATTTTTCATAACTTTTTATTGTAGAAATATTTTACATGCTGGGAAACAAAACCCTGATGTTGGAGTTATTGACATAAAGATCAAAGTAGAGACCATTTACCTCTTGAATATTATACTGTCCGTTGATGTTTCTACAATCTATGTCCTTGTTCTTTTCCCAGAAGAAACAACCGAATCTCACAAGGACAGTTGAAAATATACAGATTAACGAAGAGGATAATGAGATAAGGTATTTTGTTTTGCTAAATATGTGCATAAGTAGGCTTGACATTGCCATTTCACTTGCCCTGCACGTGCTTATACATCTTTTAACAACTTGTTTGCTCTCAGTGGTAGCTCCCATTGCATATCTGCAGTCTTTATCCACACTTCCTACCTCTCACACTTGCTTCAGTCCTACATCTCTGCTTCCCTATAGAATATACCTTCACGTGGTCCTCGTGACTCCTCTTAAGGTATCAATATTGGCTGTCTCAGCTCTATTTCTGTACTCAGCAGAATCTTGCTTAAACTGCCCGTCATGGGGCTCTGGAGGCACACTTGTGCATAATCTCCATGTCCACACTAGCAACCAGGACATGCTCATTCTTCTGTCCGTCTCTTAGCGCTTTGGAAACCTCTTCATCCACCCCTTTATGATGTCTTTGCTGAGCTGCGGCAGGATCTTCCCCTTCGCCCTTCTAAACTGCACCTGCAACCCTGGTTCATAAGGTTACTTCCTAGTCAGGATACTTGAGTGACTTTTCTCTTGCATACTTCATGTATTTGACTTCCCTTACCCCATATTGCTCCAGCACTAGTACCTTGATTTACCCCCCGTTTATAGTTTTCGTTTGGCATGTTACTTTCTCTCGTATCATGCCTTCGTATATACAGATACACCTATGAAGTACAGATAGGCATGTTTAGTATGTGTATTTGCATATGCGAGAGAGAGAATTTTTTTAAACAACTTGGGGAAGACTGTGTTGAGGTCTTCCTTCTTCCCTTTAGAATTACTGATGAAGATAAACTTTCCACTCAGTTTTGCCATCTTTTGTTACTGTATTTACAGAAAAAAAAAAAAAACAAAACCTACCTTTTACAATGCCCAGATCATGGTGTACCTCAGAATCTCTGTCCAAAAGCAAATAAGCATTTTTCTTGTTGTTTTTCAGTATGCTGCAAGAAAAAGAGAGAGAGTTTCAAGAGGTGTAATTGTGGCTTATATCAACACTGTTACTTTTGTGCCTTGGTAAGTTTTTAGAATTTAAGCTGAAAGATTAAACAAGAACCCTACAGAATCTTAGATGCGAAAATTTAGAAACAAAATTTATTAAGTTGACTATTAAACTGATGGTGGTGTGGTAACTGAAGCTGTTATAATGAATTAGATGTGCACAATGCAGTCATGTGTGTTCTTACATTTTGAAAGGCAAACAGTGATTAGTCGTTCTGATTACTGGATTCATCCTGTGTGGAAGGGATACAAAAAATTAACAGTCAAGTGTTTACTATTTTTGAGGCCAGAAAATAAGTTAACCAAGGGGAATAGAACAAATTAGGACTAAAATAAGATAATATTAATAGAGGAAGTAAAAATAAGACTAATTTCAGTTAGGCGTGACTACCATAACGTAATAGAAAAAAGTAACTCATTTGTTAGATGCTGTAAACAAGTGCATGCCACAAATCTTTCCTTGCTATCTTAAGGAAAAGGATAAATGATCAAAATAGCTTGTAAATCAGGAGAAGAAAGTTGTCAAGGTAAAGGGCCACCGGCCCCATGACTGTCCAGAGCCAGGATGCAGTAAACCTACACCAGAAACAGATACCTGATGTTCATACCTCCTCTCCTATCTACTCTCACAGCTGCTGAGTGGCAGACCCTGGATTAGTGTGGGGGACGGGGAGGGCACGGGGGAGGGCACCCTGAATGGCACCCACCTGAGCCAACGTCAGTTCTGCCCTTCTCATTTCTACTTGTGCTAACAGGCTGTTAGTTTTGTTACGGCCACCGGATCTCGACACATTGATCACAGTGGTGTATGAATGTCCTCTCATCCTCCTGAGTCTTCAGTTCTTTCCCTGCTCTCCCTCATGGTCAGAAGATCACCCACTTTCTGGGGTTATGAGATACATGGTCTGTGGTGAGCTTCGCCTTTTCTTTGTAGATCACTGTCCTTCCAGCTTCATTTCTGTCCCAGATTGAGATTTCTCTCCAGAGAGCTTTTTGCCTTCTCCAGGAGCTCACTCTGATAGTTGGAAAACGTTTTCCAACAGTCCCAAATAAGATGATACAATAACAATGTCGCATATTTCTCTAACATTTTAACCCTGCTATTACACAGACTTCATTTCAGCCTTTAATTGTGCTCTGGATCACCATATCCAAACCATAAATAGCACTTTTTTTCCCCCCTGCTCACGATCTTACCTCCTCTCTAAGGTCATGTTTTCTGTCAAATAATGTTAATGAATAGACCTTTCATTCAATACTTTTTATTTTCTGGAGCAGTACTCTCCAAGTTGAAATCCTAGCTTTCTAAGAAAAATAATTCCTCTGCCCTTCAACCCCAACATGAGCTGACTGTTGCTTTCCTGTCTGCCATTTCAGTTCCCTTAAGCTAGACATCCAGAAACCACACATTAAATAGTTAATTGAGTCTTAAAGGCTCAAGTAATGTCCTGGTTGGTTTTGGATTGCATCGCTGGAATCCTGTTTTGGCACACAGGTCTTTAATCATGTGGTTTCTAATTGTGGTATTTGCCCTATGACGTTTGGAGAATGGATTATGATGGGAAAACCCAGGGCACCTGTTTAGGCATTTGAAAACAACCATGGTCAAGCAATTTCTGCATATGTCTGCTAGTCAGGGAACATTCAGGGATAGGAATTGAGCCTGTTCTGCTGTATCTCCTCATAGCAACTCAGCTTGTTGCCTATGTGTTGTAGACTCAAACCAAATACTTGTTGAATGACAGAGTGAATAAATCCTGAATGAAAGTTTAATCACTGGTAAGGAAGATAGTTCTTCTGAAGTAGGGTTTTTTATGTGCAAGATGAGTAAATTGTAGAGACCTGCTATAAAACATTATGCCCCTAGTTAACAATGCTACATTGTGTACTTAAATATGTGGTGAGAGGATAGATCTCACATTAAGTGTTCGTACCTCAATAAAATAAATTTTTAAAAATCTTTAAGAAGGGGAAGTAGGATTTATTTTTATCATGTAGGGGTGTGTGTGTGTGCGTGTGTATTTAACTTATTGATTTGGGTCAATAGGAAAGTAAAGCGTCCAAAGGGGAAATATAGTCATGAGAAATGACTATTTTTCTTAAAATGTAAAATGTTGTTCATGTATACATTCAATCACATTAGGTTTAAAAAGAAGCTCTGGATCATTTAGAAATAAACTCCTCACACATTATTGAGTAGTCAATGTGAAATGGATAAGGAATGAACTGGCATTCTCCTTCATAAATATCTTACTCATCAGGTGTGCAAATCTCTCCAAGACTCAGATACCACCACCTCCAAAAAGCTGACTTCCCAAATTTATAGCCTTCTAATCCTATGTCATATGACATGTAATACTCATGTAATATTAACACATTAATAGGACTTCACAGTTACTTTTATAGTTATTTTGTGTCCACTGCTAAACCATAAGCTCTTACAGGGCAAGGTTTGTTTCTGAGTTTCATTTTGGAATCCCACCAAACTCTATAACATCTACTTTGTGCATACAGTAATGAATAAATATTTGTTAGAGGACAAATGGAGAAGATGAGAATCTCAGAAAATTGCAATAATATGAGAATAAAATTTATGAAAATAAAAACAAAAATAGACCTGGAAAGGATAGGAAAAAGAAAGACAAAAGAGCCAGGTTTCATCATGAATCTGCAGACTCCAAAGTGTGAATATGTAGGTATCATTTGTTACCATTTACTGAGTACCCACTGTGTAGAGTAAAAGCCTTTTGCTTGTCCCTATACCAACAGAGGTTTAAGGCCTGATGAAGAACTTTGTAATTTGGGGAGAGGATTGTGGTGAAGGAAGGGTTTGGGAGAGCAGAATAGGATGCAGTAAGAGGAAATTTGCTGAGAAATAAGAAAGCCGTAGTAAAAAGTACCAAGATAGAAATGTAATATGCAGTTGTTGTTATATATTTTAAATATTAGATATGATTTGGATTATAGTCATTTTCTTGGTTAACAAGGAAGGGGAAATTACAGGGAATGACTCAGATTTATTGCAAGGATTTCTCCCTCAAGTGGAAGTTTCACCAGCTAAAAAAAATGAAGACACATATTGGAATACTAGAACAAAAAGTGGAATAATTCTTCAAATGAAATAACCTGTAATTGGAAAATGAAAAGAGGAAAGGTTTGATATTTTGAAAACAAGGAAATAACATGGAATATAAGGTAATGAACTAGAAACAAAAGAAACCGGTGCTAAGAGAAAATATACTAATCTATATAAACAGTTTAAAATCGACTTAGTTGACTAGCTGATGCCAAGTATTCATAAGTGGCATTCCACAAGAATTTTTCATTTATTAGCTTGTGTGTAGCAGTTTGAGAAAGAAAGAAAAGAGTATATTATAGGAAAATTTTCACTCTTAATTCTTCCCACAAATATGATTTCAACACACTCTAGTAGATACATTGTTGGATGCAAATATAGCCTACTTGTGTCCTTAAATTGCTTATAGCCTACCAAAGGAAGTAAGACATATGCATAATAACCTATTTTTAAAAGCAAACTAGAAGTTTGCAAAGTTAAAACAATGAAAGGAGCTTACAAGGAAAATGCAATAAGAGAACAAAGGCACTGATTATGGTTGTACAGGATGTGTCCTTGACTCAGAGATATAGATGGTGATATGTATGGATAGACCTCTTAGAACTGTAGTATGCAGGGGCGCCTGGGTGGCTCAGTTGGTTAGGCGGCCGACTTCGGCTCAGGTCATGATCTCACGGTCCGTGAGTTCGAGCCCCGCGTCGGGCTCTGTGCTGACAGCTCAGAGCCTGGAGCCTGTTTCAGATTCTGTGTCTCCCTCTCTCTGACCCTCCCCCGTTCATGCTTTGTCTCTCTCTGTCTCAAAAATAAATATATGTTAAAAAAAAATTAAAAAAAACCTGTAGTATGCACACCCATAAACAGTTGCTTTATCTGAAAGGAGAAAGAAATCACTAGCAATAGGAGAAAGGCTTCATCATGTAGGTGATGGAGGTGGCATTTATACTGAGCTAGATCTTGGATGACTGGTAACATTTTAATAGCAATAGGGAAGGGGAAATCCAGACACTGCAATTGGTATAAACTAAGAGAGGCCAAAAGTACAGAGAAAGTGTTCCAGAGTCCATTTGTACAGTTGGACTACAGTGGGAGGTCACACATGAAGGGCTGAAATGCTGAGAAGCAAGGATGTGGGCATCAGTTTGAAAAATTACAAATACGGACGTGTACTCTATTGAGTAATGTAAGGAGCTATGGGAGGGCTTCAAAAAGATGTGAGTAATACAGTCAAAACCGAGTATGATGAAAGTAATGAAATGTTGGTGTGGCCGGATGAGTGGAAGCAGTGAACTGGAGTCAGGCAGTCCACCTAGGAGGCCAATCTTCCAAACAGATGTGAGAGAATGATGACGTAAACTGGGGTGAGGGCCATGGAAATAGGAAAGCATGGATCTGTTTGGAGATATGCAGTGAAATAATCAACACATTCTAGTTACTGATGGAATGTGAGGCTTGACATCACAGGTAGTACTCAAGGATAATTTGGAGCCTATGAGACTAACCAGATGGCGGTGCCATTAAAAGGAAATAAGAGAAGGAGTTGTGAATAAATATTGATGGGGGCAAATGTCTTAGACTGGAAATTCAAAGAACAGTCAGGGCTGGAGGTAATAGATTTGGGGTTTGGGAGTCATCTACAAAGAATTTTAATTGAGACCTTGGAAGAAGGACTGCATCACTGAGAAGGCCCTGTGTGGTTGACAGTAAATAACATGAGTTTGTAGACACTCATTTGTCAGTGTTATTGAGACACCCCAGCATGGTAAGTGTTGAAAGTAATTTTGGGAGGTCCTGGGTGGCTCAGCCAGTTGGGCATCCGACTCTTGATTTCATCTCAGGTCATGATCTCATGGGTCATGGGTTTGAGCCCTGCATGAGGCTCTGTGCTGCCAGTGCAGTCTGGGATTCTGCCCTTAGCCCCACTTTCTCTCTCAAATAAACTTAAACTTATTACAAGTAGGCTGGTGGAGAGATTCATAAAAGAAACACAACCTGGACATTTCCTGCAGATCTGGGCTAAGATAGGTGATAATAGATCCTAGATTTGGAATATGGGTAACGTTGAGTCAAATTTTTATCATTTGGCACAGACAGGATTTGCCAAGATCTCTGACTCTTTACCAGATATTTCTTAAGAATTTCAGAGGATTTGCTTTTGAGCTCTTTCTGAGGACACACACCTAGAGGATAAGAAGGGATCAGACTTGGGTTCAGGCCATGGCTCTGCAAATAGTTAAGCTGTAGGTTATTGGATGGGTCAGTTGTCTTTTAACCCCTGTTTTTTCAAGTTCTAGTAAGGGGATAATAAGACTCACCCTGCTTATTTCATGAGGTGGTTGCAAGGATCCCAAGGTATCATTATAAAAATTGTTGTTTTGTTTTATGGGAAAACTGTTGTCAACCTTCAAGTTTATTTTCTTTGCTAAGAGACCTGGGAACAAAACTAGAAATAGATTTCCAATCTTCTCTACTTAAGTTTAGAATTTCAAGCTATTCCTTTTTTAAAAAATATATCCTTTTGTATTCTGTGTGATTCCCTTTTGGTTTTTTAACCAAGGCTTATTTTAAAAATATCATCTACTTATATATTTTGGATTTCTGAAGTTTTCTCTTAATTGTTTCTTAATTTTCCTCTTGGGATTTAATTCTCCTTTCCCAGATGCAGGTTCTATAGTTTCTAGAGTTCTCTGTTTGATAATTTGTCATAGTACAATTTGTAGTAAATTCATTTAGAGAGAGCGGAAAAAAATAGTGCACTTCTTACCATTTATACTGTGGAATTTTATGCAGTTTATATATAATCTTTGTGTTGATGTCAAATATTTAAAAACTGAGATATTTGAATTCAGGAAATAAGGACGAAGGGTATTGAGTAGGGAAGAAAAAGCAACATACACGGTTATTTAGGGGTGGTGACTGAAGATATTGTGAAGATACGATCTTTGAAAAAAATAAGTAGAGAGACTTAATGTGAAAGTTGAAAATCTAAAAGCTGTGTCCAAAGCTCAGTGGATTAGCACCAGCTCTGAAGAACTGAAACAATGTCTGGCTTTAATGTTTCAACAAGTATAAGTTATGTTAAGGCCAAATGAACCTCCCCAGAGACTTTGTCCGGATGTGATGCCAGGATCTCTTCCTTTTCTTGGCTGACAGTATTGAAAGCCCTCTTGCTGCTGCTGTTTCCTCAGTTGGGAGAAGTGATGGCTTAGCAGTTAAGATACTGGCATTGCTCAGTGACCAGAAGGCTGCTGTTTGTTGATGGTCTCTTATTAGCTTCTCCACCGATGTCTCCTTAATGCTACTGCATTTCTCTCTAGACACTGTCTTTGTCTTTCAAAAACCCTCTCCCCTCACCATGTATATATATACTACCTTTTCATAGCTTGGTTAGAGAAATTCAAGGCTGCAAAATAACCCTCTTACCACAAATGGAAACAATCTATAGTATGCAAATGGGTGTGAAGGCCACTGGGTATTCATTCATCCATCCTTATGTTCCAGGAATATTTACTGAATATTTCCTCTGCCAGGTATTATTCTAGGTGTTGGAGTACAGCAGTAAAAAAGATAGACAAAGGTCTCTGTCCTCATGGAGCTTACATTTTAATGAGAGGAGAGAGTCAAACAATGAGTAAGATCATTCAGATAATGTTAAATGTTACCAGGGAGGTCACGGAGAGTGACTAATCATTGCATCTAGGAAAAGATTTGTCAAGTTCTTGTAGCTTGTGTAAGTGAAGCTTGTATTTTAAGTATATTACTCATTCTGTAGTCCTATGAATTCAGCTATTGAGAATGGAAAGAAGGCAGAAAGCAGATACACCATAATCTCTCTCTTTTCTTTCCTCTCTAGGCGGGTAACAGTTCATGTTTGCTTCATAAATGAAGCAGCTTTAAACAAATTCATATTCTGTCTGGAGTAACAGACTGCATTTTTATCTGTTCTTGCTACCCATGACTCTATATGGATGATTCACAAATTGGAACAAAGTGTTTTACTGTGAAACTGGCACTGAATTAATCATCTATAAAGAAGACCTTGCATGGAGCAGGACTCTATTTTAAAGACCTGGGGGACTGGTGGTCTCATTTAGAACTTGGAACTGACGTTGGGAGAGAAAGCACGTGTCCCAGATTGCATGCACCATTTTGCATGCCTCCAGAAGTGTCTAATTGCTGAAAAGTCACATAGCTTTATTTTCAGTTACAACCTGCAGTTCATAGTAATCTTGGTCTTTGCAAGTAGATTTCATCCTGTATAGTGGGGATAATTTTTCTGAAATGAATCTAGAAAAAATGTTAAAAACAAAAACTCAACAGCATCAGCCAGTCTACATTTAGAAAGCAGTAGGAACAAAATGATTGGAGGAAGCAACATGTCAGCCTTGTAGCTGCTAATTAGTGGTCTGGGTCTGATCTTGGTCTCTTCTTGACATAAACCTATCTCCCACTAGACAAATGGACATGGTTAGCTGGATCTATCCATGCTTGGGAGTCAGTATTGTATTAGAACAATGATGACATCAATAAAATGGGAAAAAAAAAAACCTGAATGGGAGAAAATAATTGCAAGTCATATATCTGATAAGGGGCTAATAGCTAAATCTACCAAGAACTCCTACAATAATAGCAAAAAAAAAAAAAAAAAAAAAAAAAAGAAAAAAAAGAAAAAAACCTCTAACTTAAAAATGGAAAGATCTGAGTAGATGTTTTTCCAAAGAAGACCTGCAAATGGCCAACAGGTACATGAAAAGATGCTCACCATCAATCACCAGACCAATACAAATCAAAACCACAATGAGATATCCCTCATACCTGTTAGAATGGCTGTTATCAAAAAGATAAGAATTAAGAGGGAACCCTGTGCACTGTTGGTGGGACTGTATATTGGTGCAGTCGCTATGGGAAATTTTGAGTTTCCTCAAAAAAATTAAAATAGAACTGCCATGTTATCCAGCAGTTCCACTTCTGGGTATTTGAGGAAAATGAAAACACATTCTAAAAGATGTATAAGCCCCATGTTCATTGCATTATTATTTATAATAGCCAAGATATGGAAACAATGTAAGTGTCCATCAATAGATGAATAAAGAAAATGTGTTACGTGTGTGTGTATATAACACACGTATTATACATACAGTGGATTCCGCTCTACAAATGAAATCTTGCCATTTGTGACAACATGGCTGGAACTTGAGGGCATTATGCTAAGTGAAATAGGTCAGAATGAGAAATACCATATGATCTCTCTTCTATGTGGAATCTAAAAAAATTTTTTAAGTAAAAAAATTAAAAATACCAAGCTCAAAGATACAAAGGACAGATTGGTAGTTGCAAGGGATGGGGTGGTTGGGAGAAATGGATGAACTGGGTTGTTTTTGTTTTGGTTTGCTTTGGTTTAAGTAAGTTGAATAAAAATGTAAAAAAAAAAAAAAAACACCCCCCTAAAAAAAACATTGATGCCTTTGCAGAGAGGAGACTCTCCAAAGGAGTTATGGCCCAAAGAAGCCATGAACACTGAACAGCACGGTCACTGAGGAGGACATTTTGCACCCCTTTCCCCTACCACTTATAGAGTGTATAAATTGTGCTTGCAAAATATATTATGAAATGTTTATATTCTAAAACTATTACAGAGTTATGTAAAGGGACTTAAGAGAAATTGCTGAATGTATGAAGGTCTCATTTTCAATTTACATCATGAGAGAAACTAAAAATTATATTTAGTATCTAAGATTAGAAAACCACACCCACATGGTAATATGGGTATTGAAAATTAGGTTACTTGGCTTTTATAAGAATGAAAGGAATCAGGAAATTTTAGCTATTTCTCATATAATCACCATTATCAGTTTAAGGGATCCATTTATTTAAAATCAGGCACTCTATATTAATATTTATGAATTTAAAATAGCGAGCTTTATGTAGTTATGCATGTCAGTTTGCTGTTTAAAATGTGTGACAGCGTTTGTTGTATTAACAGTGAATTTGGTAAGAATTCTCAAGATGGACATCATGCTTTTAAACTAAAACTTGTAAGACATTTTGTGAATTTCCCTTGCCATTTTTTTTTAATAGTCGAACATCTGACTAAAGAAATGGTTTCTTGTGGTTTAAGATTCTTTCAGTAGATCATGAACATACAGATGAAGGGATCCAAAGCTTTCTATTATAACTTAATTCTTGTTATAACATTATTGTCATGTTCTACCCCCTCAGATGATCATTTTCAATGTAGTGATACAAAAGGGCATGAAAAACTGCTAGCTTTCCTTTATTTCAAAAGTCCAAGAATTTCTAGTATAGTTGGACTTCATGTTAAAAGAGGATCCAAATACAACTCCAGTGAAGCGGCTTTTGCACTTTTTTGTACCAAAAAGCCCAGATGATTTCTACGATCCCTTCCTTCTCTAAAGTGCTGGGCTTCCTCAGATGGTAGTCATTTCTCTAAGATACAACCCAGGTGTTTTGGGAAGATGCATTGACTTAGGCCCTTAAATATCCCATGGATCAAACGTTTAGTAATAAAACCAGCGATCAGTTTAATTGCTGAAAGGACCTGACTCTCAGTGTGTGGCTTTGATTTTTTTGAAGAAACTAGATATAAGTTAGTATGAGTTATGTGTGTAGGTCAGGTGTAGATTGAGAAGATTGATACTTCTCAATTTAATAGTTTATTTCACCAATGGTTTTGATTTTCTTAGCCATGAGAAAATTCTGTTTAATGAACTTGAGAGTACAATAAATGCACTTTTATTCTCAAAGGCAGGAGCTGGGTTTTAACACTCAAGGACATGGTCCTAATCAATAGAGTTAAATAACAAATTCAGCAAGTTATGAAATCTGGCATCATAGGCAAGGGGTGATATATTCTACCTAATTAAATGTATTAGTTCATTGAGAGTTACGTGAATTACCAATTTTTAAAACACTAAAGTTCAATAAAATGCATGAACAGTAGAAAAAGGCTGAACATGATTTTGGATGCTGGCTGCTTGAGAATTATATGTCATATCTGCTTTGAGATGAATGTGTGTGTACACACACATACATACACACACACACACACACATTTGCTTTATTTTATCTGATATGTGTGCTGAATATCCTTCAGAAATCATGGAAAACTCACAACTGATATTATCAATCATGAAATCACCTTTTAAATTGGTGCCATGTATCTGATATCTTTTGTAATGTTCCAAAATTGCCTTTTAAAATGATCTCAGAAGTCTGCAGATCCTAAATTATACTAAAAGCTTTGCACCTCTTTGGTAGAACACAAGTCTATAAAGAAACTGGCTCTGTGATAAATGGTGCCTGCCCAGTAATATCAAAGTGTTGCCGGATTTTGTATTATAATCTAACGTGCTTACCACACTGCCATTTTTTAATGAGTCAGAGACAAATTTCAGTTTTTTTCAATATGATAATAGAATAAGTACCCTATTCTCTTTAAAAAGAAGTATATGAAGAATGAAAACGTGTTTTTTAATGTAGTGTTTGCTTTTAGTAAGAATTAACACATTTAATTGAGTATGAAAGTACTTCGGGGAAACTTTGTGGCATATTTTGGTATTCTAATTCAACTGAGGTTTGAAATTAACAGAAAAATCCATTCATGATTTATGATTCATGGATATCTCAATATTTTTCTGCAGCTAGGTTTTGGTTTCAAAATGTAATTCCAATATGGGGCTTTTAGCCATTTCCCACGTATTCTTAGAAATTTTTCAAAAGACAGTTTGGCATAATGAGGCAGATGTTGGAAAAAAATTGTGAGAAACTTCTCTGCTGTTAACTGATATTGGTAAGTCACCTCTTTGGATCTCCATGTTTTATTTATGGTGAAGTTGGAGGTCACACCTTAGGTGTGAAACCTATTGATATCTGACTGACAAAGACAACAAAATAGATCTGAAACTATTCCATATGAGATATTCCATTCTGATCTGTGAATAAGCAATTTGAACACAAAAAGTCATTGCTATTCTTGTTTGTAATGTAAATAGGATCCATTAGTAAAAGTAAAATTCAATCTCCTATAGGGTGAATTGGGTAACCATTTACACAAGAGATGGCTTTTTCCTTTGCTTAAGTAAACATTTTTGGATCACCTCTGAAGAATGAAAACCACGAGTGCATTTTAGTCAGGAAGAGATACTATAAGATATGTGCAACATTTGGAAATGCACCAAAATAAGCATTTAAATGCTGTCATTTTATTAAAAGCTTAGAACAGAAATGTAAGATGCTTAAAGTTTTTGAGTGCCAAAAAATAATTTATAATCCATTTGGAAAGGGGTCATCCATAAATTTCATTTTAAAACTAGAAGGTGGGATAAGAATTTTAAAGTAAGCCAGCTTGTCTTTGAAACAGTATTGTTTTGTAAAATTGGCATTAAAATATAAACATTGAAATTCTAACTAGTTAATTTATGATATTTTATTGCACAAATTATGGTTTTGCTGCTTTAAGTCTGGAAATGCCTTTGTTACAAATAAAGTAATGGTACTTTTATTTCCTAACAAGATGTTTTAGAAATAATTTAAAGTGGATATTCATAATCCTAAAATGTTTCCTAAGCATTGTAAATTTATAACTGCCATCTCCAACTACATCCTTATGATGTTTTTAAAAATAAAATTGTTTTAAAAACATAGTATTTTCAACTACTTGATTTCTCAGCTATAAGGCTCAAAATTTTTCAATAAAATCCTATATTCTAAGGATTAATGTGTGATTATAGTGTCCATTTGTCGCTATTTTTTAAATTGATGGACTTGAAAAGTATTCAAACATTTAGATGGATGCATAGATACATTGCTAGTTCATTCATAGATTGGAGTTTGCATATTGTAATGTAAATGTATGTCAACACTATTCTAGTTTATTATGACTGAAGTGTAATTAAATAAAAAACGTTGTAAAATGTGATGTGTATGTGTATATACTATATGTGTACTTTTTAAACTAGGTATATGTCCTGACCCTTTTTTATACAGGTTTGAATTTGAAATTACATTATATATATACATATACTTTATTGTTCTAAATAAAGAATTTTATGCACTCTCATAAGTTTGCCTTGTCATTTGATATCAAGGTTATCACACATATTTAAAAAATGGTTGAGCATATAAGCTAAAATCTAGATTTTGTTATAATATGGACGTATTTACCGGTTACTAAAATAGGTAAGGTAATCGAAGAAGATAACACTGTTTGACCTCAAGAGGTTTCTAACTTGGTTGGGGAGAAGATCTGAAAACGACTATAATATTTATAAAACCACACTGAAGTTATTACCTAAGTATAAAGCTGAGGTCCAGTTAATGTCCTTAGAGCATGCAGAAAGGAGGAATGGATATAGACTACATGGGATTATGGAGGAGTTGGGTGTTTGGGCTAATAAGACTTACAAGGGTGAGACAAATTTTGACAGAGGAGAATTAGGCCCAGTCTGAGCAGCACCTTCCAAAGCAAGAAGCTATACAAGTTCTTATTCTATCAGATCAAATCAGTGCACCCAGAGTATATAATGCAAAAAGAGATACACAGAGAGATGAGAGCATGACCTTGAATGTCGGAACAAGGAGGGTAGACATTCTTAGGGGCCATGGGAAACCACTGTGTGTTTCTGAGAAGAGGAATGGCAAGATCAAACACCATGGTGGATAATGTGGTTTAGGCGATAAATCCTCATCCTGCTAACCTCTGGTCGGTATTTGACTTTTCAGACCCTAGCTTTATGACATAATATTTATTCACCCACCATTTCTTTTCAACTTCTTTGCTTATTCTGCCTTTTCTGTTCAGCCTTTGTATCGCAATTTCACCACTGTAAGCCTAGACAATTTTAATAACCTCCTAACTGATCACACATACCTAGCCCTTTTTCAGTCAGTTCCTCAAGTTAGAACAAATAATATGGAGACATCTGATATTTTTCTCTGGTTGGAACACTTAAATCGTTTCTCATTATTTTCAAAGGAAAACCCAAATGCCTTAACATGGCTTACAAGGCCCTCCTTGGTCCATCTCATAATTTTGGGGAAGGAGAGGAGATTGCTAATTGTTTTTACTTTTAAGCCATAAACCATGTGAGGGGTAGGACCATGAATATTTATAACACTATGTTCCCCAAATTTAATAAAGTGTGTAATGAAACAAAATTTTAACTGAATAGATACTACCTATTGTAATGTCTGATGTTATTTTCTATAACATTTTATTATGAACAGTTTGAAATATGTATAAAAATACAGTAGTGTAATGTAACCCCATGTAACCATAGCCTAGGTTCAACTTTACTCAACTACAGAATGATCTTGTATCTAAGTCTATCTATACTCTTTATCCACTCCCCCTTTCATATTACTTTTAGGCCAATACCCAAAAATATTTGATCTGTAAATATGTATTTCTAAATTAAAAAAAAAACCCATGATATACTTGCCACACTTAAGAAAAATGAACAATTCCTTAATATTAGAGTCAGTAAGTATTCATATTTCAATTGTCTCATCATTATACATTTCAATATTGCACTACAGCAGGCTATAAAATAAAGGCAAATGTATCCCTTCAACATTCATTGTATTTAGATCCCCCCCCCCACACACACACACACACAGATGAACACCACTACTTTGTGTTAACTTTGAGAACTTTTTGGCTTGAGCAAACTATATACATATATGTGAATATGTGTGTGTGTGTGTATATATATATATATATGTATATATATATATACACACATATATATGTATATAATGCTATTCTGTAGCCTTACATTTTTCATTTATTAGAAGAATGTGTAACATTCAATAGACCTCTATTCACTGTGCTACAATAGCCAGGAAATTATAGATGGACACTGAGACTGTAATATAATGTGTGCCCTTTGGAATTCCAAAGCCCATACTTTGCAAAATCCAATGTATTTTCAAAACTTTTCCTTCATCTTACTCAAAATTAAAATGAGTCTGTCTTCTGAGGATGTATCTATCTCTTCAGCCCTCTCATTTGGTGGCTGTGTTTCCTCCGTAACAATCACAGAGTCCAGAAGTGAGTTATCTGTTCTTACCGCTTCTGTACTACTTTCTCCTCCCTCTTCCCTCCCAGATTTGAATCTCATTAGATTTTCCACTGCCACTCACTGTTCCTTCCATATATAACTCCCAGGCTCTACGGCCTCATTTCTTGATGGTGTTAGCACCTGGTTCACTGTCACTCATTTGTACTCCTGTCTTCATTCTTGGGATTTTGATATGCACATAAATGATCCTTTCAACATCCTGTCCCTTCAGGTCCTCGAACTTTTCTCCTAATGAACCAGTCCTCAACACCATCCTAGTCCCCTAGTTTGATGGTCTTCCTGTAGCCTTTGTCATTGCCATTAATTGCAATCCATTCATCGCTTCAATTCCATGTATTCCATCTCTGACCACCACTTTGTATCTTTCCAGTTTATTCTCTTTGATCCAGTGGGCCTGTCAATCTATCGATTCTACCATTTTCCACTAATTGTCAAACTTGATGTCCTCTCTTCTCTCCTTATACAGGTTAAAATCCACAATCCAGCATTAATAATCACTCTCCTGCATATACCTTCTATTTAATCCCTCTCATTTCCTAATATTTGCTTGTTAAATGACAACCCTGCTCAAATCCAGTTATCCATGCACTCTCTGTCTGCAGTCGTATGGCTAAACACGTCTGGTGTACAACACGCCATCATGCCTACTAATTTCTCTGTAGATTCCTTCCCATCAAGTGGGTCTTAATGCTGCTCAACAGTTCTATTTCTCTAGTCCATTGCTTTTACATTCTCATAGCTATTTCCTACATTATTTTCTCTTCCAAACCACCCACTACATTCCTCATTCCCACTTTTAGCCGATAATCTTGATTGCTATTTTACCTGCAAACTGAAAGAATAGAAGACCCCTAATGCCTGGAGGCTGATTTTCTGTGAAGCTACAGAAATTCAGATTTCTGGTCCTCACTTATACAGGCCCTCTATATGTCATAGAGAGGAGCTAGCAATGTATTCATATAGTAATATAGTAATATATTTTTGTAAAATTTGCAGCCACTTGCATTTATCTTTAAGATATTAAAGTACCTCTCATGTGGGAATGGCTTCCAGAAACACTCCCACTGGACACTGTGCCAATTTACTAGGACACCATGACCTAAAAGTATATGTGAGGTTGTATCATGATGCCCTAGTGAATGTGTCTTATGGATCTGGCACCAGAAGTATGCAGGTGATGGATGAGAAATGAGTTTTGAAATGAATGGAGGCAGAATCCAGTTTGTGGGAAATTTTCACAATCATCACAGTCTCCTGATATGTAAAACTGTAAGTGGAAGACTAAGGTTTCATTAATGCCTGGTCAAAATAATAGCTTTCCCCAATCACAAAATGCTCAGTAATACAGAGTATACAATTATAAACAAAACCATACACTTTTTTTTCTCTTAGTGGTGAGGAAATAAAATAGAATTTAATAAAATTGCTGTGTTTATAGAACCAGAAAATCCGTATGTGAGATAACATGTTTTCGGCTTCTCAATACACTGGTCTCAACAAATGTGTAGTGTTGTATATCCACTATTATAGAACATACAGAATTGTTTAATTGCCCTAAAAAAATCCCTTGTGCTTTGCCTATTCAAAATCTCTTCCATTCCCCTGTACCTCTAGAAACCAGTAATTTTTTTTATTGTTGTTACAGTTTCTATGTTTTCCAGAGTATCATATAATTGAAATTACATAATGTGTAGCCTTTTCAGACTAGTTTCTTTCACCTAGAAATATGCATTTAATACTCATCTATGTCTTTCATGGCTTGGATAGCCCATTTCTTTTTATCATAGAATAATATCCCTTTGTATGAATGTGTCACCCTTTGTTTATCTATTTACCTATTAAGGACATCTTGGTTGTTTCCAGGTTTTGGTGATTATGAATTAAGCTGCTACAAACGTTCATGTTTTTGGAACACAGAAGTTTTCAAATCAGTTGGGTAAATGCCCAGGAGCATGATTTCTGGACCGTATGGTACACCTATGTGTAGATTTGTAAGAAAACATAAAACTGTCTTCTAAAGTGGCGGTGCCGTTCTGCATTCCTAGAAGCTATGAATATAAAGTTCTGCTGCTCCACATACTCACTAGCAATTGTTATGGTCAGTCTGTTGGATTTTAGCCATTCTAATAGATGAGTACTGGTTTATCATCATTGTTTTAATTTGCAGTTCCCTAATGACAAATGATGGTGAGCATTTTTTCATGAGCTTATTTGCCATCTGTTTATCTTCTTTGGTGAGGTGTCTTTTCAAATCTTTTGTCCATTTTTAAATTGGGTTATTTGTTTCCTTACTGATGAATTTTAAAAGGTTCTTGTATATATTTACAGGCAAACCTTCTGTCAGATATGTGTTCTACACATATTTGCTAGTTTGTGGCTTGTCTTTTCATTCTCTTAACACTGTCTTTCATAGAGCAGCTTCAAGCATTTTTTAACATATTTTAAAACTTTCTAAAGAGTTTTTGTGTAACAAAATGGTCTCCTCACATAAGGCTGTTGGGACATAATGACATTTTAAGGACTTGGAACTTGTAATGACTTCTAACATAGTTTTAAAGACTCCAAATAAACAAACAAACAAACAAAAACAAACAAAACATTAGAAGAAAAAAGATAAAACTCATACATTTAACTCTAGTCTGGAAAGATGTCTTGGAATCGTTCATAAAAATAATTGAGAAATTATAAACTAATTCAAACATATAAAATGGATATAAAGGATCCCTTTCTGTAATTGTATTTATTTATTAAATACCTAGGAGTTTTAAGAAGATGGCAGAGTGAGAGGATCCTGAGCTCATCTCATCCCATGGACATACAAATATAACAGCTGCATCCATACGACTAACTCTGAAAAACCACCTGAAGACTGGCAGAACAGACTTTTCACTGCTAATCATAGAAAAGGGTAGAAGAGATAGAGACATAGTTGCGAACCAAACCCCTGGTCAGACTAACCAGAAACAGGAGGGACATC